TTTTATGGTAGAATTCTTTCATTTCAAATTATCCTCCGTTGTCTATCATAATCACCTTTACTTGTGACTAGAATTGGGTGTTAATTAGCGCACAAAAACCTTGCAAAGTGGCAGTAGCATCTGATTTAGTTTTTAGCGTATATACCCAGGGTGCACTTAGAATAATACTGGCTTGACTTAGCGGATGCGCTTAAGAGAATAGTTGATTGACAGGGCATCTTGATTGGGGTATGGTTAATGTAGAGGCATGATAAGCACTCAAAAGACAAATACAACTGAAATATAGTTGAAGCAGAGGCGTAATGAGCACTCTAAAAATAAATGCAACTATAATGCAACATCTCGTATGGTGAGACATCTCATAGAGCAATGAATGAATATCGAGCTGGTGACTCATCTCGAACTACCAGATACTTATAAGCTAGCCTCGAAAGGACGAGGTCTTACAGCTGTGCTCAATGGATGGACCCCGTCTATTTTTCAGTCAAATAGTCACCTTCTTTGTGCACGATAAATCGAGGATTGATCCAGGGATTATTTTTGTTAACCCTTTTGATTTCGCTCGTAAACAGTTAGAGAAAACAGAGAAATTGAATGCTGATCATCAAGTCTTCAAGTCTTTTCTTTTTCCAAGGTTGATGGAGTTTGATCATAATAAGTTCATAAAACTGTTTTTTAGGCCGACCCACATGTATACACTGAGCCTACATTAGAGAAAAACAAACACTTGAGCAACTGCAACGTTAATACTATTCGTAAAAAAAATTTGTTAGCGATAATGGAAATTTCGATCTGACAATGAAAATAATTTCCTTTCACAGCCTCAAAGATTAGCTTCTGTTCCGAAATTTGGGGATTGGAATGATAAAGATCCTAAGGCAAGAGGCTTTACTGTCATTTTCGATAAAGTGAAGGAGGAAAAGCAAATAGCAGCAACAAAATTCCCTCTGGTGCTCATACAAACGGCCAACGACTCAAGCAACTACAAAACAGCCATGAGATCAAATGTATGCACGTTACTGAATTTCAGTGAAATCAAAGATAACAAACATTTAAACTCGATAAGGGATATGCTTGGTGTACATAATACATGTACATAGGGGTGTTCATACCCTTCACATAGGGTGGGATCTACATTTTTATAGGCCTCACCCCATGTGAGGGGTATGGACACCCCTATGTACATATATTATGTACACCAAGAATATTTCACTCGATAAATGTTGGGAAGGCAAGACTTGAGTGGCACGATAAGCTTTTCGGTTGATTGTGTTTTTATCCTTTTTACTAAAGACCTGTTTGGGCCGAATTAAAATATGATTTTAATCTAAATCAAAGTCAAACAATCAATATTGTTCACATCTTTCATGGGTCCCACATTTTTTTAACCACACATTTCAAAAACTTCTATCACAATTCAGTAAAAATCTAATTTTAATTCGCACCAAACACCCTCTAACTATATAGATGTCCGTTCTTTTTTCAAATTTGATTTGATATTTTATCTACGTGTCATCCTTTTACTGTTGGTGTAGAGATGTTGCTGCCTATTTTGAAGAACAAAAATTTGTTGTACCGCTTTTCTGGGACCTATTAGTTTGAGAGTGGTCTTTCTTAGTGAATTAAAGGCATTTGGCCGTTGTTATACATATTACTAATTTAATAATATTTTTATTTTAAGAGTGCATTTTCTTCTTCTGCATTTGAAAAAGGAATGTATTTCTACCCCTTTGGTGGCTATATTATTTTTGGAAAAATATTGTTTTACATAGTGATTTTTGAAAAAAAATAAAATTGGTTTATGTGTAGAATAATTTATTTTGTAAATATGATAAAAAATGAGTGTAGAAAAAATAGTTTTGAAATAATGAGAGACAAACATGGCTCGGTATATTTGTTCCAAGGCTGTGTTCAGAAGAAAATTTAATGACACATCCATTGAATAGGAATAAAGCTATTTTGTTGGAAAAAAAATTGTCACCTTGATTGACACACATTCACATGGGAGTGGTACCCGTATGAAACCCATGTGAATAAAAAAAATTCAAAAAGATGCTCTCATATTGTGAGTGTGCTGTCCGGAAGGGTTTTCCTAAGCTTTGTTTGAATAGTTAAGAAAAATCACTCCTTTCTCAAACTTGAAATTATTTGGGCCTATAAGACATTTGACGTGGGCCATTGTCCCATCTCGTCAATCAATGTGGCCTTTATCATGTTGGATTAACAGTTTGTTTGAGTTCCTTTTTAGGATTTGCAATAATGATTTTTTAGGGTACAATAAAAAATTGGAAAATTTTTTAGATGTACATGTAAAATTATTTTATTAATAAAAGTGATTTTAAATGTGTTTGAAAAAAAAAATGAATTTTTAAAAAATGAGTGATCAAATGGAGCCCAATAATTTCCATGTCAAGGAACAAAAATGTCACTTTTCAAGATTTGAAAAAAAAATGAAAATGCAGAAGATTAATTATCTAACGTGAAAAGGAAAACAATTAACAAATATATCAAAAATGTTTTAATTAATTATGATTCATCCCTACATTTGTGAATTAATCAGTTCAATCCATCTTTCCCGTGAAATCTGAATCAGCTCAAATGGATCGTAATTAAAATTTTATGCACAAATTGAGCTCCATTTTAATTTAATGTATTTTTTTTTCTTTCTTCAAATCTAATCACATATTATTTAATAAAATAATATACACGTAAATTCAAAATTTTTCTTTATTTTCTAACCACACATTATTCGAAAAATTACTATTTCAAAATATTTTTTTCTCAACCCCATTGAAAAGAGCCCAAACAAGGCTAAGGTTTGATCAATTAAGAACCAAACCATCATCTTATATTAGGGGTGAGCGCAGTTCGATTTGGGTGATTTGTACCATATTTCAAACTCAAATCATTTTATGCTATTTGAAATTTTTTTGAACCAAATCAAATCATTTTATTTTTCGAATCAAACCAAATAAAACCATAATTTGCGATTTGGTTCAATTTTAAATCGCAGTTTACCTATCGACATTATAGTAATATATTTAAAATAAGTCAATATATAAGTTTAAACGAGAACTAATAATTTTAAATTTTAAATTACATTCATTTTTCTCATGAAACCCGTAAATAAATTATTTTCAAAATTGGTTGCTAAAAGATGTTAATAGAACGAATATATATATTTTTCCTTTTTATTTACCTTTTTTTGTTTGCTTTTAGTATTGTCAAATAGCGATTGGTAAATGAATCATATTTTGCTGTAAAAGTTTAGTTAAAACTCTTTGTCCTTGTAGTGAGATAAAAAATAAGAACTGAACACTATATGCTTAGATGTACAAAAAAATGATAAAATTCAGGTTTATCGGGAATTGATAAATTTCATTCTCTAACTACGTTGAGAAAGTATAATGTAGTAGTACTAGTTAGAGAACTTTAACATTTTCATACAATCAATATGCTCTGTGATTCGTTCTTTCCAAATCACAAATAAATTCATTAATCACCTAGGCATACAAATAATAATAATAATAATTATTTTTTATCTAAACCACAACTCACAAGTGTATAGTAAGTTCAAAAACATCAAATAAAAAAAAGAACAATGAAAAAAATGGCTTGAATGAGAACCCAAGACTTATCGAGAGAAAAAAGAGAAATAGGCGATTCATGTATAAATTAGCAGACTAACAAGCAAAAGACGATTGACAATTTTCGATTGGGAATCGCATTTCGTTCAGTAGTGGCAAGCAAGCGTCAAACGTTTGAAAAATGAGAATTTAGGTTATGGGTTCTGAAGCTATGGCGCGTGATTTATTGTAGTAGTTTTGTTGAATTATGATTTAGATTGTTGAAAGTATATGAATTTTTTTTTTTTTTTCCATTTCATATGATTTGAAATCATTTAGTTTTGTTTAGATATCGGGTTATGATATATGTCGTGGACTTATAAAACCATATGCCAGTAATGATAAACTTAATTTACTTTATTATTTCAATTGGTTGGTTGTAATTTGTATTGCTAAATTGGGGTGTGTGTATGCACTTTTTTTTTGAAAAGTGAAAACTATAAAATTTACAAGTTAATAAAATTAATTTTTTAATTAAAAAGCGGTTCACTTCGATTTTGTGCCGATTTTGAAAATTCAAATATAAATCAAATCATTTTGAAACAGTTTGGTTTGATTTGAGGAAAAAAAACTGGGGTAATACTAGTGGTACATCACCACTAACATAAGGTCTACATAATGGACACCTAACTCTCTTTCATTCGAGGGAGGGTTGGTGGGGTCGGCACTCCCTCCAATGAGAGGGCGCCGGGTGTCCATTATGGATACCTTGATATACAAGGTGATGTATAACAAGAATTATCCAAAAAACTGCGGGTCCATATGGCCCCGAACCAATAGTTTCGATTGAATTTGCGGTTTTGCGATTTTTTTTGTGCAGTCTTATCTTATATGCACTTGAAATTATGTTAGTTACTTTTTAAATTTTATGTATAAATACTTACATTTAATTAGTTATTAATTTGTAAATTTTACATATAAATTAAAGACGAAATGAATTTCCCGCTTTACAAAAAAAAGCTAAATATTTGAAAATTTAAATTTGGACTTTTAATGATAACGATAAGATAACCTATTCTATTTCTAATCCAATGGTCAACCAAATTGCCGATAACATGATAATGCTAATGGTATTTGAATTCCCTTAATTCCACCATTAATTTTAATCTTATAATACGATTATAATCGTACAGTTTCTCCAATTGCTATCGCTGCTTTTTTAATACTTAAAGTCGCGTCGTATGACCACGACTTTGGCTAAAATTGTTCAACATTGGGAGAGATTGAACTTGAGAGTAGAGGTCCCCTGCGCCAATACTGTCATTAAAGAAGTTCCCTCTTTTCAGGGTTTTCAAATTCACATTTTTGTTCCTATCAACACACACACACACACACACTAAAATTCATTTGCAGTCCATTTTCAAAAAGATGGAAATGGCTTCAGGTCCGATCAGTTTATGTTCTAAAGAAGATCAGAAAATCTATCAGACCTGGTTCAATTTCGCCGATTCAGGTTCATCTATCTTTTCCATTTCAATGTTCCTTGTTAACAACCGCTTGCTCTTTAATCACACTTCATTCGTACAATTTTTATTTATTTATTGTGTATAGATGGAGATGGCCGTTTGACTGGAAATGACGCAACAAGGTTTTTTGAGATGTCCAATCTATCGAAACCTGAACTCAAGCAGGTAAAATACTCGTTTCTTTGTGAAAGATAAATGTTATTAATTGAGTAGTTATTTTTGTTGGCTTATATTAAAGAGCCTGTGGACACTATCTGCTTTGCCTGTTTATATTCATCATCTGGTCGATAATAAGATTTTTTGGTCATTTTTGTTGACTGTTTTCATTTTTTTGAGAAACAGTGAATTTTTTGTTCTGATATTGACTGATTGACACGACTTTTTGATGGATTTGAGTACTTATGTAGTGGCAAATGTAATGATTCAATGGACATATTTTAGGCTAAGTATCTATTTGATATGTCAAGATTAACATTGCTTGTTCATAGTTCCAATGAATCAGTGCTGCTCTTGGTTATAATTCTACAGATCAATTTATTTTATTAATTTCCACAATTTGTATTTTTACCTTTTATTATGTAAGACTAGGAATAATGTATTTGAAACTAATAAAATTGCGGAATGTGTAATTTGTGAATCTGTTAAATACTATGTGTGTTCTTATTACAACCAAAGATTTCTTCCGCTGGTAAAATTGAATATTGATAATCACTTTAATTTATTCTCTGCTATCTGCTTAGCTGATATATTTTTTCACAATCTTCGTTCCCTTCATTTTTCATGTGCATTTTGTTGATCAAAGGTTTGGGCTATTGCTGACTCCAAACGTCAAGGATTTCTAGGATTCAAGGAGTTCATCACTGCAATGCAGGTTGTATTCAAAAGAAAAAAAATGAGAGAATTACATCCTGTATATGAGATTGTTTAGACTTGACTTATGTTTTCCTTTCTTTTTCTCTTGTTCTTCTGGTTGTTTCTTCAACAACTACAGTTGATCTCTCTTGCACAAGAAGGAAATGAACTGACCTCAGATCTACTTAAGAGCACAGGCAAGTAGAATATTTGTCTATCTTTGCTTCTATCCTGCATTAGAAGTTTGAACAGACTAGACCAGCAATTCAAAGTTTGAAAGCTTTATGGTATTTTTAGTATGGGTTTACATGCCTTTATGGTTAAATACAAAGGATTATTGACACAGCACTGTTATGTTACAAATACTAATTATAAACTCAAAATTGGGGCCTGAGACTTGCATTTTTAGCCTGGTATCATTGTCTATTCTTTCAACATTTCTCAATATCTAAAGTTGTCAACTTTTAGATTTCATTTTATTCTTTTATTCTTGTAGCTGACATTGAAACACCGAGTCTCCCATCAATGGAAGGTTTGGATGCCTTACTGGCTGTAAGTTGCCATCTATCCTCCTTTTTACAGTTTGTTTTTTTTCTCATAAAACTTAAGCACTGTTGCTGAACAACTTTGTATATTTTATCCAGAAAAGTAAAGGAGCAACAATGAACGGCAATTCTTACTCAAATGGTCAGTAACTTCTATTGTTCGACTTAAGATAGCAATTAGATAACCTTGTCATTGATCAAAGCAGGATCTAATCAATCACTACCAATGCCTCCCATGATGCATAGCACAAAATCAAAAAAGAAGGTACTCTTTCATTCGCTTTGTCATGTCTCCAGTAGTTCTTTACTTGTGTTGATATGTTAATAGTTTGTCTAGTGAAAATTTTGACACTCACTATTCTTTTAACTTCTTTGATTCTTTGCATATACATCTGGAAAAAAAAAACTGCCTGATATATCATTTTTAACAAATTTTTTTTGCAGAACCCTACTTGTCGTGTTCCTGTTACTTCAGTGACAGATGGATTAAAGATATTGTACAATGAAAAACTAAAGCCATTGGAATCTGCTTACCGTTTCAATGATTTTGGATCTCCTGTATTGGTGAGTGTATGAAGAACAATTCGTGTTTATAACACACCATACTATTCTACGTAGTTCTGTTTTATGCATGTTTGGTACTGTAAATGTGCGAATGACATATTCTTTTATTTGCAGACAAATAGTGATTTTGATGCCAAGCCCATGGTCATGCTTTTGGGTCAGTACTCAACTGGAAAAACCACATTTATAAAACACCTACTCAAGTGCAGCTATCCAGGTTACTTCGAGTTCTTTTATTTCTTGTTTAATTGTTTTGACATTTTATGTCAATGATGCTTCCGCTAGCTTACAATAATATTATTTCTTTCTTCACAGGAGCTCATATTGGACCTGAGCCAACTACGGACCGGTTTATTGTTGTTATGGTACACGAAGGCATCTTGATACTTCTATACATATTAAAATCATTGTCATTTTTCTAGGAAACTTGGACTCAATAGAAAGATGCACGACCGGATTAAAACCAGAAACTGGAGTATAATATTAAAAACAGATAATAAAACCCAAATATAATATGAGAAATTATGAATTCCAGCACTATATATCTCTTGGAGTAAGCAGATTATAACAAGCATCACTACTATGCGGCAAACTTATCTCCTTTGCTGATACTCATTGAACGTTTCCTGATCATTCCTCTTAGTCTGGACCTGACGGAAGGAGCATTCCAGGCAACACTATTGCTGTCCATGAAGACATGCCATTTACTGGTTTGACAACTTTTGGTGGTTCGTTTTTGTCCAAGTTTGAGTGTTCTCAAATGCCACATCAAGTGAGTTTTGATCTTGAGGCATAGAAGTATATCATGGTTTATCGAAGTCATTTAAAATATTCAAGTCAGTTTCATTGACCTGCAGTTGCTTGAACATATTACATTGGTGGACACGCCTGGAGTTTTATCTGGTGAAAAGCAACGGACCCAAAGAAGCTATGATTTCACAGGTGTCATATCTTGGTTTGCCGCAAAATGTGATATGATTCTCCTTCTATTTGATCCCCACAAACTTGACATCAGTGATGAATTCAAACGTGTCATTTCATCTTTGCGTGGGCATGATGACAAGATACGTGTTGTCCTAAACAAGGCAGATCAAGTTGATACTCAACAAGTAAGATCATTATTTGAACGGGGAAGGTCATTAATTGGATATACCTTTTTCTGTGTATTTTACTTGATAAGGTTTCTTTCCTCAAGATCTTACTTTTTCTTTCTTATCATGTTCCAGTTGATGAGAGTTTATGGTGCATTAATGTGGTCGCTTGGAAAAGTTTTGAACACTCCAGAGGTAGCGCGCGTCTATATAGGGTAGGTTCTTTTTTATCCAGACTTTCTTGATTCATATGAACTTACAACTCTCATTGGAGATAAATATCGACACTTACTGAAGAAAATGTTGATGTTTGGAGTTCAGTGTAACTAAATTCAGCATTAGATAGTACAGTTTCGTGACAGCTCCGTGACCATTCTCTCCCCTCTAATGAAAAGATTGTTTAGCTATTTCCTGAATTATGAGGAATCCTGTTATGCCTTTTCGAAAGGAAGCATAGCAGTTACAGTTGAATTCCACTGATTTTCTAAGTAATTTAATCCGTCCATACTCTTTTTTTTGTCATTTTTAATTATCCACTATTTTATTTTATAATTGTGATTTGAAAGTTCTAGTTCTTAATATTTGTTCACCTTATCTATTTTGACTGGTATGTTTGGAAATTAAAATAATATTATCTCTTTTGTGATTTTCAGATCATTTAATGACAAACCGGTTAATGAAGCAGTGCTTGGACCTATAGGGAAGGAACTTTTCGAGAAAGAACAAGACGACCTTCTTGTAGACTTGATGGACATTCCAAAGAAGGCTTGTGATCGCCGGGTATGCTAATCTCTTATATAGTTTGATGTACACATTGAATTTGTTAGTTGGACCTAATGTTTACATGTAGGACACCCATAAAAATGTGTTTCCAGATCAATGAATTTGTTAAACGTGCAAGAGCTGCCAAGATTCATGCCTATATAATTAGCCATCTCAAAAAGGAAATGCCATCTTTTATGGGCAAATCCAAAACTCAGAAGCGACTTATGGATAATCTTGAAGATGTATTTGCAAAGGTCTACCCCTCTCTCTCTCTCTCACACACACGTGAACACAAACCAACCCTTACCCGAGGTACTTTTTTGCTTGAATTCTATTAATTTTATTTTTTAAAAAAATCTGGGTAACAGGTCCAGAGGGAACATCATCTACCAGCAGGTGACTTCCCGAGTGTGGAGAACTTCAGGGAGGTTCTGAGTCGTTATAACATTGAGGAGTTTGAGAAATTGAAGCCTAAAATGATTCAGGCTGTTGATGACATGCTTGGACATGACATCCCGCAACTTCTAAAAAGTATTAGAAATCTGTACAACTAGAAAGAGGTACAATATAGGTCTCTCTTCAAGAATGCTTGAAGTTTGAAAATATGCAGCATTTCCATTTTGTGCATTAAATTCACAAATTTATTTGTCGTTTTTTACTTTCTATATGTTCAATGGATTGAATTTCTTGTGTTACTGTCAAGGATTACAACTGGCATTTGCTTTAACGTCATCATGGTGTTGAGTTGGAAATTAATGCTTGTTATTTTTCTCTTCACTTGTCTTTCCATTCAGTATCAGATAGATTGGGTAATATATGGAATTTTATCTTTCATATAATTACTAGTCTTTCTCGATGCACTGGTTGTGTTAGTTTGAAGCTAATAGTAGCGGTTTAATGTGAAGGAGTAATGATGGATATGTTGAACCCTGTCTATTGTTTGTTTTCTAAAACTAGTTGTGAGAAGTCAAATTAAAATATTTCGAATAACTAGTTAGAATAAAGCACGGTGATGGAAATATGCATTTGCATGCATGCCTTCAAAAGTTGATGGAAACAAGAATAAAATAATGAAATATGAAAACTGTTTGGCACCTATTAAAGTTATAATTCATTTTTCTTTTTTCTTATTAACTATACATTTTCTAATAAAATGATATCATATGTAATCCCAATTTTTTTTTTCATTTTTAATTACACATTTAAAAAAAAAAAACCACTATTTCAACCTTTAAAATTTCAAATAATAGAAGCCAAATAGGGCTTAATTTGTCGAGTCAAAAGGATTCAAGTGCTAGACACTCGAACTTGTCGTAAGATCAAATGACGAAACTCTATTCATGTTGATAAATACTTTGTATTCAAAATCCTTATCACCCCTCAATTTAAATATAGCTGACCTCCCATCCCTTTGCAATGTTCTCGCAGTCAATTGCATGTTCGTACCCTCATCAACTATACACGGAGAGTTATCGTATTTGGGCTTCAAAGGAAACTTAAAATGCAAAGTCTCTGTACAAAAATAGTCATATTATTTTGGAAGAATGTATTTTGGAATAGTAGATTGATAGTGAATGTGTGGTTGAAAAAGAAGGAAAAATAATTGATGTGATGGAAAATATTATTTTATTGAAAAATGTGTGGTTGAAAATAAGTAGAAAAATGAGAATAAAAAAAATAATGTGGCCCGAACAGGGGAATCTCCAAATTTACAAGAATACTAAAACGGAGAATATTTCTTGGCTTATAGATTTGAGTGTAATTTCCATGATGGAGAGGCAACGAAACTTAATACCCATATATAGGTGCATTCTCGTTCCATCGAAAACTGATATTTTACGAAAATATATTAGGTGCTAAAAGAAGGAGAATTGTCCACAAATTTCAACCAAAAGATGGTGACAAAAAAAAAAAAAAAAAAAGACTAAGTAGCATAGGAAGTGTGAAACATTAGTTGAAAACTCGATAGTCACTGAATTCATTCGGTTTCAAAATATTCAATTAACTTCATTCCTATTTTATGTTAGCTTCTCTGTGGCTTATAAATTTTTCCCGAATTTAAAATTCAAAAGACCAAAATATAAGAAAAGAAAAATGCATCTCATCTCGAACTTACATAAAAATAACATGACGAGCTTTCCTTCAAACAAAAATCAAACAATACATACTTGTTTGTGGTGATTGAAGATATCTGCATTACTACGCCGATCTAAAAGCACACAAAGAACGTACAACAATATAGAAGGAAGAAAATTTGATCAAAATGTACAGATGTAATTAAGTCAATAAAATGAGAAAATACAAATAATAACAAATCAGAAAAAACTTACCTCGACCAATCGATTTGGGGCAATTATTTTCTGAGTATCTACCGCATTAATCATTTTGGACATGTAAGACGGAAGTATAAATAATCAAATAATAACAGGCATTCAGAAGTGTTAAAATGTCAAAGAGGTATGACTAACCAACTTGAAGGAAATGTCGTTATTTACAGAGAAAACTATAACTTAAAAAACATAAGAGATATGGCAAGCAGATGTATAGAAATATATCTGAAAATATTTATTCAATTAAAGTTTAAGCAAACACTTGCCAAAAATATTTGTTTACCACTCCAAGTTACTTTAACACATTGGAAGTGCTATCTTAATTTTTATGTGAGAAACATCCATCGATACCATTGCCAAAGAAATTAACCTAGATCAATTGGCATTTTACCAGAATAACATACATCATGTATTTAACATTCCAAATCAAAAGGATATTTGAACATTTGGAGTCACTTAGGTATCAGTACATCTTCTCCCAAAATGGCCAGTTATGCCACCACACTCCCACCTCTCACAATCCGATTATTTTAATCCAATTAACAGCATACGATAGCAAAGATGATGCATTCCCCTAGAAATATTCATACTATACGTGAATGTGAACATATACAAAGTTAGCAAAAACTGACACACAATGTAAAGTATATGCCACCACACGGGCTCGGGGGCAGACGCAGAACTTTAACGCTGGGAGCACAATTGAACTTGCAAAAAAGTT